AAAAGGATCTATGCAAAACAAAACCAAAGGGCAGTAAGTTAGGTAATGGTATCCAAGAATGTTATGTAAGGGTAAACTATTAAGAGGAGATCAGTTAGCACAGAAAGACTACTATCAGACCTGGGTATTACCACGCTCAAAGCAATTAATGTCTAATATAGCAACTTACTATTTACATTTTTGCAATGCCAATCATGACTGCCATCTGGAGGTTTTTTACAACTAATAAACCAAACATAGCACTTAAAAACCATTCCCCCTCAAAAAGAGCATAACCGGTCAGTGGGCTTGGGAATGTCAAATGGATGGGTAATCTGATAACTAAAACTTAAAAAAGGAAAAATTATTCAATGAATCTGAAAAAGGAGGTTTAATGCCACTAGAAGAAGGCATATCTCTATTTTTTCTGTTCAAGTCATTTAGAATTAATCACTTTTCTGCAAAACAGATAGGAAAAATGTATTATATTTATTATTCCTGATTTAATAATTGAATTCACTGAGTGAGAGACATATTCTGTCTCTGGAAATTCATGCTTAGAAACAATCGGGCTACAGCTAGAACTAAGAATCTCTTTCACAAGCTTCTGCTCAGACTCAAGAATTCAAATCAGCACAAACACTCAGCTGCAGAAATAAGCCAGGAAAGATAAGCCCACAGTAGAGCAAAGAATGAACTAACTTCAATTTAAAGTTATCTCTGATATTCACAGAAGTTTCATCTCTATCCATATTTCTCTCTACAAATTAACCCACATAATGCCAAGTTCTAAAGTACTAAATATTTGACTAGCTTAAGGAAAAAAGGAATTAAAAAATAGTATCTATTCCCTGTAATTTACATAGTTCTAATCTTCCTGAAAGACTTAAACTTGTTTTATATAAACCATCTCATGTCTCATGGGAGGTTGATGAAGAGTCAGGTTTCTGGAGGAAAAACAAGCACAAAGGGATTAAATATCTTGTCCAGCAAGTCACCAGTGAAAATAAAACCAGACCCAATTATTTAGCCTACAAAGTCTAAATAATCTGCTTTTCTTGGTTCATAAATTTAGGACAATATTTTAAAGTGCCTACAAATTATCCCAAACTATAGAGCTTCATGGAACAATACATATAATCAGAACGCTATGCCAGAGTTTTCTAAGGAAGGAAGTACTGCTTGCCCCAAATCAATAAAATGAACTAACACAATGAACTTAAAAAATACCAGGAGGAAACAATAGCCATATTGGAGAGAATTTTCAAAGGTCACTCTATTCATCTTATATCCTTCTGCTCAAATTCTCTGCCAGGGAGCCAGAGGGGTCAGACATGCATGCCTTATAATTATATGCTCCTTCTGTACATATATCAAATTTCAAAATATATTGCTAAAAGTTTCAATCAAAGGCATATTACACTTTAAAAACCTTTCCCTCCAAAAATAAAATCTTACAGCAATGCTTTCAGAGCATTATTTTGCTGCCTTCATGACATACTTCAAATCTGGATTTTAAAAATCATTAGCTTCCAGGTTATTCTTTAAATATTTATATTTACAGATTCAGATTACTTAAAATGTGGCATTCTGCTCAGCCCTCAGTATGTTTAGGTAGGATTCCCACTTCCACTCAAACCTATTATTTGAACTTACAATGGCTGCATTAAAATACTTCCGAAACTGACAAAAGAAGAGAACTACTCAACCCGGAAAGCCTCCCAAGGTATCAAAGCAGATCTTTTACTTGGAATCGTACTACATACCACGTTATGCACTACATGAAGCCCAAAAACGGTAACTGAAGTCATTTCTTCAACATGCTGAAATAATTTATTTTTTTGCAAAATCTGACAAGACTGAATTTTCAACTGTCAAAAGAGAAATCATTTTCCAAGGTTCTGGAAAACCCTGCTTACTAAGGCAGTCTCAAAGCAGTTTCCTTAATCCTTCAAAATCCCAAAGAATCTAACACAAGCCACAGAACACTAAAAGAGACTTCGCTGAAACGTCTGTGCTCAAACCCCTAAAGGTTATTTCCTATGTGTTTGGCAAGCTGATGGCACTATGTCCACACAGCCCCAGAAATCTTTCCTCAATAAAGCTAACACTACACTCCCCAACTCAAATCAAAATACCAGAAAATCGAAAAGACTCCAACTAAATTTTACGTAAACTATTAGGGAGGAAAAACCAATAACTCAGGTTTTTGCACCTTGAAAGAGAAGTAGAGTCGCAGAGCTCTATTCCTGCCACTTTTAGGAGCTGTAAGTACAATAACTCATCTGACTCTATATAGCATAGCACTAAGATATTACATCACTCAATGCCTGAAACTGTCCCATTACCCAGAAAGCACCAGGGTATCTGACACACTGCACCAAGGTATCCCTTCCTCTGATACACAGCCCTCAAACGCTACTGACACAGGGCCCTGCTCTCCTGCATTATCTTAAGACATCTGCCCTGCACCTGCTATAATACTTTTATTCACTCTCAGTGCACTCCTCATGATCCCGCGTATAGCTCTTCTACCTTGCCCACTCATCAGGGTAATGTGCTAGGACGATACACCACCACACACCTCCTCTAAACTTGGAAGTGTGTACTCATCTGTCCCCTATCCCTTCCCCATTCACTGGGTTCTGTAATTCATGATTTCTCTGATTCTAGATGCTTGAACTTTCAGATAATAGTACATAGTTTAATGTTCTCCGTTTTCCATTAATATCGTTCCAGGATACACACACATACCCCCACACTCTCCAGTTCCTCTCAGTCTGGAATTTAACCCCTCCTCCTTTCATTTTTCCTTTTTCCAGGTTTTGCACCCTGCTCTTTTTTATACTTGCAGGGACCTAAAAAATTTGGCCCCTTTATTCTCTCAAGACTGTTTTCCAATCTCTCTTCCCATACTTCAGCACCCTGCTCCTTCCATACTGTTTTAAGCAACCTGTTTTCCTAACACTCTCCAACCTAACAGTTATTTCCCGCCCTAAACCTGAACACCCTCCTCCCCCCACCACCCCAATCAAATATACAACTATGTTGTCAGACATGCCCACACATCCCTCTCTTGCCCTTCCCTTACTCCATGATAGGTACTCTACATCCTCTATCCAAAAATACCGTTTTCCTTTCACTCCTTCAATTCCCTACCTCTCCCCTTCTACCAAAATCTAGCGCTCCAAACCCACGCGTCCCCCCTTCCACATACAGTACTCCAGAACTGTAGACCTTCCCTTCCAACCTATCCCCTGCTGTCCTCCCACCAACTTCCCTTCACACTCCCAACCAGCCCACCACCCTTCCTTCTCCCCGACTTCCCTTCACATTTCCTGTCCCAGAAACATTTCCTTCCATCTGTCCCCTCACCTCACCTGCAACTCCAAAATTTCCCTCACCCGGTAAACCTTTGGCGCTACAGCTCGCACAAACTCCTCTACCTGTCCCCCCCAACGTCCCCTCCCCACCTAAATATCCCTCCCTCTCTTGCTACTCCCCTACCTCCATCCATACTTGTGAAAAGAACACTCTTCATTTCACTCACTTCTACCTTCTAAATGCCCTGCACACCTCAGTGTCCAGACATTTCCTCTCCATCCCAGCACCCTACTCTACTGCCCCCACTTCTGCCGCCAACTCCTCCAACTTGGGCCCTATTCCAATCACCCACCCCCTTCACCCCATACGCATCTCCCCTGAGTGCCCCCACCACAGAGGTAGCTGCTGCTCCCCCCCAGATCCTCTTCTCACCGGTCCTCCCTCCAGTGGCCTGCCTGTCCAGCCTTGGCACCCTCCCGCCTCCCCTACACACCTCCTGGCCAGACCTTGTCTTCCCGTCCCTCACAGGTCCCCTGAAGCCTCCGGGCCTCCCCTCACACACACACCTCGTGCCTCAACACCCTCCATTTCCCTCACCATCATTAGAGACAGCCCCTGACACTCTCCCTCTGTCTCCCTTTGCATGCTCAACCCGCCACATTTCCTCACACCCAGGCACCTTCCTCCACGTTCCTCCTCACATGTGGGTCGCTGGCCTCCCTCCTGTCGGCACCCGTCCCTGCCCCTCACGCGCAGCCCCGACCGGGACGTCCGCCGCTTCCATTCCTCCCTCGAGTCCTTCCTCTTCTTCCACTCCCATCACTCGCCCCGACCCTCTCCAAGGCCTCCCGCACACCCTCCAGAGCCACCCGCCCAGCCCCCAAGCTGTCCCTCCACCTGCCTGAATGTCCTCCATCCCTCTGCCACTCGCCCTGACCCTCCTGGGCCTCCACACCTGCCGGAAGGCCCTCACTCTCCAGTGGGCCGGATCCCTCCGCCCTTCATTCTCCCCCAAATCTGCCTACACCCGCCACATGCCCCCCAAAACCTTCCCCCCCCCGGCCCCTGCCCCCAGTGTCCTCCAACACCTGCCCAGAGCCCGGAGCCCTCCATCCTACCCTGACCCCTCGACGCTGGGTGCCCCCACAATGCCCTCGCCCTCCCCTCGCTCGGGCCAGGACCCCGTACCCGCAAAGGTGAGGAAGGCGGCCGCTGCCCTTGCTCAGAGCGGTCGGGTCACCGCGCGGCAGCGGCAGCCACAATGCCGGAACCCCAGAGGCCGTGATTGCTCCCTGCTTTCCGCCCGGGCCGCGGCCGTCGCCGCTGCTAAGGACGCACAACAAACAATGCGGGGCCCGGCCGGCTCCGCCAACCGCCTCAACCGCCGCCCGCCCGGGACGGCCCGCCGCGCAGGCGCCTGCCCCGTCGCCGCAGCCTACCCGCGCCGCTCAAAGGTGAGGAAGGCGGCCGCTGCCCTTGCTCAGAGCGGTCGGGTCACCGCGCGGCAGCGGCAGCCACAATGCCGGAACCCCAGAGGCCGTGATTGCTCCCTGCTTTCCGCCCGGGCCGCGGCCGTCGCCGCTGCTAAGGACGCACAACAAACAATGCGGGGCCCGGCCGGCTCCGCCAACCGCCTCAACCGCCGCCCGCCCGGGACGGCCCGCCGCGCAGGCGCCTGCCCCGTCGCCGCAGCCTACCCGCGCCGCCGCGCTCTGCCCGCGCCCGGTCCTTGCTCCAACTCCGCCGCCGCCGCCACCTCGTCCGCCCGCGTCTCCGGCGCCTAAGCCCAGTGGCGGCGGCTGCGGCGGTTGCTGCCCTGGTGGCGCTCGCGGCTCCCGTCTCCGCTTCGGCGGCGGCGGCGGCGAGCACGTGACGCTGCCGAGCGCGCCCATTGGCCGGGACGGGGGGCGGGCCCCGCCGCTGCTGGGGAACGGAAAGCCCGCCCCCTCACTCGCCGCGCGCCCCCTCCACGCGCACCCTGCCATACCTGAGAGCACCAGCCAGCGCCCGCCGCCGCCGCGCCGCGCCACCGCCTGCGCCAACTGCGCACCTGGGAGCGCGCAGGGAGCACACGGAGGTGGCGGCCGCATGCACCTGTGAGCGGACGCTTACGTAAACTGCGTCTCCGCTTTTCTCCCAGGGCCAGGCTTCCGGCCGCAGTAGCACCTTAGCCCCGCTGCGCTAGCGGCGTAACTGCTGTGGAGCACGGACGACGAGCGGCGCAGGGAGGCGAGCGAAATGCACGGAAACTTCGTAACTTCCGATTCTGGGAGCGGCTTGGGCCACCGCAGCAGGCCAGTCTCCCCAGGCCCGCGCCTCAGTGACGGGTGCCTCCCAGCCCCAGCCGCTACGCAAGCGGAATAGGCGCTCAACGCCTTCCTTAGGTGGAGGAGGGGGATGCCAGTGGTCTTTGACTTGTTAAAAGGTCGATCCCAGCCTCCGCCCCTCCAACACTTACCAGCTGTGTGACCTTGACCAAATTACAGAACCACTCGGAACCTCAGTTTCCTGGCCAGAAAAACTGGGACAATAATTTCGATTTAGGAGCTGTTGGAGAGATGGAAAAAGACAATAGGTGTGAATTCTTCTCGCACTTAGCAGGCACTAAACAGAAATTGCAGTTCAGTCCGCAACCACCTCTCCTCCCACCTGTAATGGACCTCTCTGACTTCCTTAGAGTTAGGTAAGACTTTGGCTGAACACCCACCTGGCCAGGGCTGGGGAAGAAATGAAGGTCTGCTTTTTATTTTATAGTCACTAGCTGACACCTTCTTGGTACCCAGCAATCTGCCAGCAAGTTTGACCTCTACTGAGCGTACCTGCTGCATGCCAGGTGCTGTGCTGGATGTTAGGATGCACAGGTGAATGAGACAAGGTCCTTGTCCTAAAGGAATTCCCAGCCCAGGCAGAAATGGCCTGACCACCCAGTGCCAGCACTTGGAGAGCTGGGAGTCTAGGACGAATCTCCCACAAATGCCCCCTCCCATCTTTCTAACGTGCCAGGCTCAAATATTTTAACAGCTCTATTTGCTTCATTCATAGGATAAAGTGTAAACATTCTGACTCAACTTAAAAAAGGCTGTGGTTCTCTGGCCTTAAGTTTCAAGGTACCTGCTCTTCCCCTCCTCAGGCCAAGCTGACCCAGGCACACTGAATTTCAGAACATTAGTTGCCAGACTGTCTCTTCTGAGCCTCCTGAACCAGATGCTAGGTCTCAAGTCCTCTTCTACACCTTCTCCCCACCTCCAACCACCCACACCTTTCTTTATCCTCTTGGAAAAGCTACTTGGTGTTCTTATCAGTCAGCTTCGAACATATTCTCTCTGGAATTCCTTGGCTGCCTCAGACACATTGTCTAAACTCCCTCACCTTTGCACATAGCCCATTAACCCATATGTTCTTATGGCACTAGATTGTAATAGTTTAGCTATTTGTCACCTCCCTAGACTGAACTACCTTGAGGACAGGGCCATCTCTCTACCTGAGCAGGTTAGGGAGGACTGCATAAGCAAATGAGATCTTTAAAGCTGGGCTTTGCAGAAAGAACATGAGTCAGCTGGGAAAGATGCAAGGCTGCAATGTCAAAGTCTGAGTTCAGTGCACACTCACTGTGTGACCTTAGAAAATCAGTCTCTCCAGGTCTTAGTTTACTCATCTGTCAAGTGAGACTATATAATATGCATACTTCATAGGGTTGTTTTAAGGATTCAGTGAGACAGTATATCTCAAGGACTCATTACGGTGCCTGACAGTAAAATTTTTAAATTTTTTTAAATAGAAGGACTGCACAGTATTAAGCATTCAGTGGTATCTTTTATCCTGCTATCTTTTTTGGTTTTTTTAACTCCAAACACTCCTTCCAAAAACATGCAAATGGGTCAAAAGTAAAGAAACTAAAAATTTCAAGTCTCTTGAAAATTTCCCTTCCTGCCTCCGACTCCATTTCCTCTACTCCTAATTCCATCTCCCAGGGCAGCTACTATTAAAGGTTTTTCATTTCCTACAATGCACGTCCAAAGAAAAAAGAAAGTTGCAGAAAATTATGTATCTATAATGTGTATGTAATACTTGGATTCTACATAGAAAGCGATCAGAAAGGATTAAACACCAATTACTATTGTTATGCCAGGAGAATGGAACTGGGTGTGGGGATGAACAACCTTAAATACTTCTGCATTGTTTTAATTCTCTGTAAAAATATATATACATACATACATTTAAATTTTTTTATTGTGGTATATTTACATATCCTAAAATTCATGCACTTCATGTGTACAAGTCAAGGATTTTTAGTAACTTTACCCAGTGGTGCAAACATCAACTTAAATCAATTTTAGAACATTTTATGGATTCCCCATAAAATCCCTTATGCCCATTTACTGTTAATCTCCATTCCCACCCACCCCCAGCCACAGGCAACCTCTAATCTACTCTCTGTCTCTCTATTTTTGCTTTTTCTGTATATATGAGAACATTTTTTTAATCAAATAGATGTTTTAGAAAAAAAAGTACCACCTCTTAATCTTACCTGCTGATAGTAATCACTGATAATATTTGTGTCTATTATTCCAAACTTTTCCTATGCATAGAAATAGAAAATTTTTACCAAAAAAATCAGTTTTGATTTTTTTCACTTAACACTACACAGTAAATACACCTCTTTTTGTGTCACTAAACACTCTTTTGCATAATCTTGTATCTTAAGAATCATTCTATTAACCCAAGGCCCATGTTGGGTATTTGGGTCTTTCCCAATATTTCCACTGTTATAAACAGAGGAATGTGATAGATGTTGTAAAGCTCTAGGGCTTGGTGAGCTTTGAAATCATTACCTAAGCTCAAAAATTAGCATTTCTTGTGTCATTAGGTCATTGCACCACTATTTACTGAGTACCTATTATGTGCCAGTCCTCAGGGATACAAACACAAGCAAACAGCTACAAAGCTTTACCCTCAGGGGGCTAAAGGCCAGTGGGAGAGAGACAAACACTAATCAAATAATAATTGGCCCACAGAAGGGAGCAGCCAACATAGGAAGGGAGGGAGGTCCTCAGAGGCTGTCTGAGGCAGCATCTTTGCAGCATATCTTTGGCACAGTGCTATGCCCATTCTTATAAAAGGTGCCTAGGAAAGAGAGGTGGGCTGGCTCCCCTGCTTGAGCACAGTGCAGCCTTTCAGAGTTCTCAGGGCCTAGGCTCATTTGATCCTCTCATCTTCCCTCTGAAGAGAAGACAGAAGAGGACATTAGGACCAGAAAGATAAGTGAATTGCCCAATGTCACTAGGCCAGGAGTGTGTACAGCTGAACCTACACTCTGGTCTGACTCTTAGTTCAGTGCTCTTGGTCCCAGATGACACTGCCCTCTACAGAGGATGCTCATCTTTGAAGAACCACGTTGAAACAGAAGCAGAAAATGCATAGAGCATTTTCTATCCAGTAAAATAGACACTAGCCACATATGGCTACTTAAATTAATTAGAATTTAATAAAATTTAGGATTCAGTTCCTCAGTTGCCTTAGGTGTGTTTTAAGTGCCCCAAAGCTGCCTGTGGCTACCCACGATGGTATTGAATGGCATTGACATAAACCATTTCCATCATTGCAGAGAGTTCTATTGGTCAGCGCTGACTTAGAGGAACAATAATAATACAGTAGTAGTAGTGATAATGCCTTACTTGTGTATTATTTTCCAGATGCCGGTTAGAGACTCAAATACCACAGCAGAATTGCTGTTGCTTACAAGATTTTCTGAAATGGTGGATAACTCTTGGTAGAGTCTGAACATAAGAAGTTATAATCTTCATTTACTTTGCATAGCATTTGCCTCCCTGGAGTATTAAAATCATGCTAGAGTGTACTTGGTAGTTATATGAAAAATGGAATTAGTTGTTAGGCTCAGACCACTGTACTTAGGACTTCCACCTACATAAATGTCCAGAGCAACATTCAAAAATCATGCAATACTGTCCATGCTTTGTAGGACATCTAGCATTCCTGGCTTCCCCTCAGTAAATGCCATTATGACTACTCAAAGGCCATCACAAATGTCTAAAAGCCCCAAGTGAGAACTATGGCTCTAGACTCTCATTCAACAACCTATTCAGGATCTCTAGTTGGATATTCACATGCCATTCAACTATCCATAACTCTCAGATCTTTCCTCCGCCTGTTCCGCCTTTCAGTTCCCTTGCTGAGGCTATGGCAGCTACTGATATTGAATGATCATAGACTGAAGGTTGCACACAGGCAGAAGTTCGTTTGATCTGCTCTGTGTATGCCTTAGGATAGTGCCAGGCATATAGGAATCACTTAATATTTATTGAATACCCAGCACATTTCCCCTTTCCCCTTCCTGGGGTAACAAACCCCAAAGAAGAAGAAGTTAGCCAGGTTTCCTAGTCAGGAAGGCCTCACATCTTACAGAATTCTTTCTAATATTCCTGATACTTCCATCAGCCAAAGATCTCAAACAGCCCAGAGCCACTGCTGAAACGTTCCCACCAAAGTTCTCTTGTAGCAGAGAAGACTAAGAGAGCTTCAGTGGGGGGTCCAGGGAGGAGGCCCAGACTCATAAGACTCAAACATAAAATTTCTTAGAAATCTCACATTTTAACTTTAAAATCCATGCAAATTTCACCTTTTATTTCATGTTTGTTTTAACTTAAAAATAATGTTTTTAACTACCTCCCTATAGAAGAAAAATTCAAAGCCTATGTTTCCAACTCTTAAAATTCACACTGTGGGGAAGATGTTCCATATCTATCTTGTGGCTCAAAGTATTTCCTGGCACACCAGCACCTTGCCCTGGTGGTTGTTATACTAATAGCCAACATTTATTAAGCACTTATTATATGCCAGG